AAATATTTACACATGAAAGAATCGTCTCCCAGGAGTGGCATCACATGGTCTGAAATGTGCACAACAAACGAAGAGGCTAAAAAATAAATATTCTTTCTCGTGTAAAACGCTACTCCAGTTACGAGCTTTCTAGTGCTCCGAAGAAAAGCCCCTATTTTGTATGGAAGGTCTATGTGTTCCAKTGAAGGTCCGTGGAATTTCAAAGTGTTTGTATTGTTGAAGTTGTGCATTCTTTACTTTACCGTTGGTATTTGCGAATATTTAAACAATGATTCGAAGCTTAGCCTGTGTAAATGAGCCTGTAATCAAGAAACACAGCAATAATTTGGAACTCGAAAATGGTCAATTGTTTTTTGTTTCTATCCAATATGGCAGCCGTCACGTGATCACTGGTTGCCCCAAGTTACCTGTCCGTTAACATTCGTCGATTAGCCATCAAGAGGAATAGCACGAAGGGAGTCTCGCCAAACCCAAACCCCGGGGGCCTCCTCTCCGCAAGAGATCCAACGAGCAAATCAACCTGGTTRATATCGTTATTGTAGATGTTCTTGAGCTTCTGAACTTGTTCCGGCGACACGTCGAATTGTGTGAAGTTGACTAGAGGCTGGAGACCGAGAAGGTGACGGAACTTGTTATACCTTGGGATACCGCGCTCACGGTCACGGATGATGTCTATCGTGGCGAGGTCGATCAGCTAAAAAAGATCAAAATTGGAACGTTTTATAATTTATGATTTATATTATTGATTTATCAATTTATAGTGCGCAAATATCAGACAAAACGTTTTTTTCAAATGTGCATAAAAAACAATTCACATAGTTTAGTTTAGTTTATTTACATTATCAGCGTTATCATATATCTGTTACAAATATTTAACACTTAATGCTAATAATTATTAATACATTACAATCACACACATATAAATTTACAATACATTTACATATCTAATATGGTCAAAATCTTAAAAAAAAGTCTCTTAAAAAAATATGTCGTACCAAATGCTCTTTACTCCTACAAAAATATACAACTATTTCGTAAACGTTTGTCGGTTGGAGATCTGAAATGGGCGATCTGAGACTAAATGGAATTTTTGTGCTTTTATGTTTTCTGGCTAAAATAGGCGAAAAATCACATTCCTAACTCAAAGGTGATGCTTCATATTCGAATGTAAGAGGAAACTCAATCATGCGGCTATGAATCGATGGTTTTCAACCATTCCCAAGAGAATTAAATAACAAAAGACAAGGCGACCATGTTGGAGGATATAACAAAAGAATTCATTGACAATTCTTTTGTTAAGTTCCTCCAACATGGCCGCCGTGAAAACCATCAATATATTACAATTTGCAGCGTTTCATATAGACCCTTGCATGTGACGTTAAAGCAGCTCGATCTGGGGGACAAAACAAAAAAATTCTAATTACCTGAGAATTTGAACCTATTCTTTTTTCTCCCCCAGATTGAGCTGCATTCCGAAGTACTGCAAGGGGTCTATTTTCTAGCATGGTTAAAAACCTGTTTTCACTTAGCCTTTTACCGTGTTGAGATAAGATTAATACAGCCTTTTGACGTGACGTCACATCRGCCATGTTGGTGTAACAAACAATACATGTTCTATCCCACAGGAATTGACCTCTATTTTTTTGCAAAGACGGTGCAGAAAATTTCTACTGTTTGGAACGGCCAATACGGCGTCCTTGTCATGTGAGTAAAAACGCTTTATAGATCTTTCTCGAATTCACTCGAGTGACCACGAAACCATTGCTTTAAGTCGAGGTTGGACTTGCTGTATTCATATATTTTGGGTATTTTATCAAACCCAGACTCGACTTGAAACCAATGTTTCGGTTTTATTGACCAATTGATTGATCCTAAAATTTAAGCCCTAGCCCCATCCCCCTAAGTGTACTTACCCCACCACCTCCTTGGTGTTTTGGTATCACTAGATCAGATGTAGTAACAGGGTAGTTGTTCAAAACCAGTTGACCTGGGTTTTCCGTACCAAATGTGTAAAGTATATCTTTAAGCCCTAACCCCCTCCCCCTGAGTGTACCTTTTATCTACTTACCCCACCACCTCCTTGGTGTTTTGGTATCACTAGATCAGATGTAGTAACAGGGTAGTTGTTTAACACCAGTTGACCTGGGTTTTCCGTACCAAATGTGTAAAGTATGTCTTTGATGTCGTTCTGATCAAACACGTCTGCCACCTTTCCAAAGGTAACCTCTGGTAATGTGTAGACTTTGCCAGTCTTTGCACCTTTGCAAAAATATGAAATAGAAATCATCAAATTACATACGTTTCAAATATTCCTTTCTTTGAGCCACTCTAGCCTCTTTTGCAGGCAACTCCTTGGGCTCCTTAATTGGGCTTCCTTTGGCGGAACGGGCTACAGGGCGGGCTTCTTTCACGGTAATCATGAGCGGCTATAGCCTCCGCAGGCATCTCTCTAAATCTCTCTATCTCTCTATCTCTCTATATGGGAGTATGGGAAGCATTGCCCTCCGAGGTTCTATGCCAAAGGAAGCCCGTCCTGTAGCCCGTCCTGCCAAAGGAAGCCCAAGGAGCTCAAGAAGGAGAGAAAGATAGGAAAGAAWGAAGAAAAGAAAGAAAAAGAAAATAACCGAAGGATGAAGGAATGAATAGTTGGATGGATAGAAAAAAGATAAAGATAGAAAAAAAGGAGCGACAATTAGAGTGCAAACAATATAACCGTGAAACTTTAGTAGTACTAAATAGCACAATTTCATGCAAATTCCATTGTTTTCTATTGTTTAACTAGCACTATTTTGTACTATTTAGTAATTAGTGTTTCACGGATTAATTGTTTGCACTCTATAAAAAGAAAAATATTTTTTTGCTAAACTTGATTAACATATGATAAAATCTAATTGATTAAGCCAAAACATTATTATTGACAGTTCTGCAAGCAAACAAACCTGTATCCATACTGCGAATGTGTATTTGGTCTGGTAATAGCGAGTGGAACCGATAGACTGCTACAAACTCCTCAGTCAGTGAAAAAGGAACATTATTCTTGCCGAAGTTTCTAGGGTTACCAATATTGGCCTTGACAGACTGAAAACACACCATTACAAGGAAATTAGTATAAAGCCCCGTCCACACTATGCCAGAAATTTTTGTATCCGCAAATTTTGTTTTGCGGATACGAAAATGTTCGCGTCCACACGCAGCGTATTCGAATCGCTTTCGAATCGTTTTCACTGTCCACACGTATCCGGAAATTTCTTGATCCGCCCTGATGCACGCTAGTGCCTAGTCCCTTTGACGGATAGTTTTTCTTATTGAACATGCGCAAAATCGTGTTTACGTCAGCGTATTCGAAAATTTGCGGATACGACCGTCCACACGTATCCGTATTCGGAGTGTATTCGAAAATTTCCACTCTGGGGACCGTTTTCGAAACTTTCCGGATRCGGATACCAAAATTTGCGGATACGTGTGGACGGRGCCTCAGTGCTTTGTACAAAACTATTCATACCCCTGGGTCTAGTGTGACGTTGTTTTTCATCAGTGCCGACAGAACTTCCGGTGCTAGTTTCCCAAACCATTCAACATCAACAGCGTATTTCACGAATTTCTCATTGAGAATAGTTGGTGTCCACTCTACGACGTGGATCTTAGCTATCAGTGCTGAAATAATCAATCTGGAATRAGAATGCATACAAAATTCAATAATGGCTTTGAAGCATAGTTCGTAGGTTGTTTAAATGGTGATAGATCAGTACAGCAACTCATTTATCGGGTACCGACGACAGTTTATGTGATAGACCCCTTACAGCAAGTCTGAATGCCGCTCAATTTGCAAGGCAAAGCAATAGCTTTGCAATTCTCATGAGATTGAAATTCTTTTGAATTTTGTCCTCCACAACAAAAWATCCCAAGTTATACAATAGAACGAACCTAACTATAGATACTATAGACCCCTTGCACTGAGTCAAGAGAGAAATTGGTCTGGGAGACAAAACAATAGGACGTGTTTTCTTATGCAATAATAAAAA